CATGGCTTTGTCAAGCTGCTGCCTACCTTTGTGAAGCAGGAAAAAGACTAATACAAAGTCAATCCAGTAGAACTTTTTATTGCCTACCTGGAATGGGTGACGATATTTAAATAAACTTTTGGCTCTCAAAATGGTATCTGTGTCCTATTTGTTGGTACCCGGCAATACCGATACCACCATTTTTGTGCTGGATCGGGGTCCTGCCCGATAACGGAATCGGCATTGGTCCAACACTAATAACTACCACATTTAAAGTGTAATTACTTGAATTTCAACTGTTTATTTCAATGTGTACCTGAAAGTAACATTTCTGTTAGTATGGTTTATTTATTTAATTCATTTAAACCATGGGAACCACTGGAATAGTCCAAGAGTCGAGCGTTAAACAGTAATGTTCAGGATCAGATGAAAATGTTTCAAATTAAAACCAGGCATCTCACTTCTGTTGTTTTAGAAATACCTTATCTCCACAGTGCTGTAATTGTTTCTTCAGATCTGTTGGATTTTAACCATCGGCATAGACTTTTCTGGTCCCCTGCTACTTACACTGGCAGATCCGATGGCCATTGTCATAGTAACCAAAGGGACATTTGGCAGCACAGAGACCAGAGGGCAGCAGAACGCTGTTAGGAGGGCAGGAAGTACAGGACATATGGCCCTCTCCGCTGCAGGACTCACATGACGGATGGCATTCTGGGAAAAAAAAAGAAGGGAATAAGTTCAATTAAAATGGAAGAAGGGATTAAAACGTAAATAAAAAGATTAGGACAAAAATGAAAGGCATTAGAGTAAAACATTTAATATGAATGTTTGAAAACTGTTTCTTTCATATCAATAAAATGCTGTTTATATTTGTGAACGAATTCTTGCTTTTTTCCAAACACCTTAACTTTCTTTTCTGAAAATGTGTAAAAAAAAAAAAAAAAAAGCCTGATTTACTTTTTTAAAATCTGATCATCATGACCACCTCAAAAGATTAGAGGACGGCCCGGCTAATAAATGGTAAATATAATGAACTTAAGGCTAGTTTTAAAACATTCTTTACAAAGATGGAGAACACCACTTCAAGCTGCTGAATTTTCATATTCCTATCAGAATAAATTTGTAACTGCACACTCTTGAGCTCAAAAATTCATATTTAAAATACTCAGTAATCACAATCAAGTGTGCAATCATTCCAAGAGCTCTCCAGTCCTCAGGCTGTCACCAAAAATTATAGTAAAGTAGGTATTTTCAGCTTCAATTCTGATCAGAATAAACGCTACATACAATAAGATATTGCTGCTTCGGGTTCTGTTAAATGAGCCTCCAGAGGCTTTGCAGCCCAAAGCCGCCTCCTCCTTCTCACATTTGCATTTAAATCTGCATGAAGCTACAGCAGCTCTGCATGGCTGCATCTCTCTTCTACTCCTTACCTGCTGAATCACAGGATGAGGATAGTAAAAAAAAATAATGATGATAATGACCCTGGCTGATGAAGATGAAAAAGCTAATGAGGTTTAGGACCATAAGATAAAGAAGGGGGGATGATAATGGTGATGAGGCTAATGAGGAGATAAAGAGGAATTAGGGCAACGATGAGTCGTCAGTATAAAGGGATGAGAACACTGATGGTTATTATGAGGATGATGACCATAATAATGAGGAGGAGAATGGAGATGAAAGGATGGAATGTAAAGACGATAAAGAATAAGAAACACTGCACAAATAAAGAGGAAGAGCAATGGGAACAAAGTGGAAACCATGTGGGATGAAAGTAATGAAGAGGATGAGAAACTGAAAAACAAAACAAAAAAGATTGAATTTAGGAGGGACAATTTCCTCAGAAGAGCATTTTATGAAGCGAACAGGTGGGTATTAGGACAAAGCCAAGATGGAAAGACATCAGCAGTGACCTTAAAGGAGCTGCTGTCAATCAATCCTGAAAGATCTTTAAGGCCACTTATGGTTAAAGTTCATCTTGATTCCACAGAGTTCTTGTTCAGAAGCATCAAAACTTTTAGGGCAGCGTAATCTTCCAAGAAGTGGATGTCCCAGCATATTCACTCCAATGTCAAAAGGTTCAATGCTAAGAGAAATGCTAAAGCTCTAATGCACACTGTACAAGTCACAGTTAGGCTTTTATACCACAAAGTTTAAAAGGAAAGCAATATGGCTGCACTATTTGCATAGTTTGCAAAGGTAACATCTCTGTATTATTTCTGGAACAATCTTTGGAGAAATGAGAACAAAGTTGGGATATTAGGCTTTAATCTCCAGCTCCATGTTCCAGCATAAGTCTTACAAATCCTCTCATGTTTCTTCCAGCTTTGCATGGTTTCATTTTCATGATCAAACCTTTCTGAGTGGATACCATATTCCACTAATGTGGATATAAACATAATATGAAATAGGCAAAGTGCTCAGTAGAGGTTTATATTTACTGTTTTGTTTGTGACCTCACTAGCTGCGTTTCTATTACAAATGTAATCAATACTATAAATATCGATATAGTGCTCATTTTGAAAATGCACATTTTCATAATTACTATATTTTAATTAAATGCCAAATCAAATTAAAATTGCAAGTAAATACATTTATTCTTGTGAAAAATGCCTCTAATGGGTGCAAAGCAACTTTTTACTGTAAAACATTTTTTTTTTTTTTTTACATTGTAGTGTTTCCATTTAGCAGATTTGTTTTTGTATTCACAATTTGCACAATGTTAATGGTTAATAGAAACATAGTTACTGATGAGTCAACAATACTTCCTAGTAAGCCAGCCACTCTTTGGTAGTTCCCCACTGCCGTCCATTTGAGGATGTTGCCTCTCTCTGTGGTTCTAAAAACCCCAGGCCCTTAAAATGAACTTTTAAGTAATTCTACACCTAATGATGTCAAAAACTGAGATTATGGCCTTTTAAGATATTTTACCTACTTAAAGATGTTGAACATGTTCTGAATTCTACATGTTTGGTAGTTAACAGGCATGATGAAAAACTAAGAACCATTAATTCATGGTTTAAACAGAGAGTCAATTACTTTTTCATACATAGGCAGGTATAAAGCTCTTTTTCCTTCTTACAGTTTTTCTTTTCTTTTTTATAGAAAATACTGAGATAAATTGTTAAAGATGGCAGATATTTGTTCAGAGTAATCTGCATTATGCTGCCGATGCTTAAAGGAAAGTTGAGATATTTGTATTCTATGACAAAAAAAAATGTGTTTTTCTTATTTCAATAAAACGGAAACACTTCAATACATCCTAGGATGCATTCTTTGTTGTCGACATTTAATTTATTTTTTCTGAGCGTGTTTAAATGCTCATTATTTGCAGCTCTATAAATCTGTTAGAGCGTGATTTTTGCTGAAAAGATTCTATTAAATATAAAATATCAATCTTTTGTTTAACCAAGAGGCTCTGCTGGATGTGCATCAGGCAGAAATTACAAGGAGGTACTGTGCAGCAACCTGTGTTGTTACCATTTTTTCTGCTTCTTATTATCACAGAATAAGAGGATCGAGAACCAACTTCCACAAAGTCAGAAAGGTCTTTAAGCTGATGGATGAATAAAATATAGAATCTCTGATCTGATTTTAGCTCTGTTTCACATTCAGACAGCTGCTATTGACCTTTGACCTCTGTACATTTAATATTAAGACAGAAGGGTGAAAGTGCTTACTGATGCAGGCTCCATGCCGTTGATAATGATCGGGGGGACAGCTAGGGACGCAGTGATCACCGAGCAGCCAGGTCCTCTTTGCTTTGCACCACAAACAGACACTGCCGATGCCGTTCTGGAGATCCGCCGTGCAGCGCTGACAGTCATTGCTGCACTCTGGGGATAAAACACAGGAAATAAGACTTTTTATTTCCTCTGGTAATCATACTGTGAATGGGAAAACTACAGACTTTTGCTAAAGCCATCCTAGCAAGGATAATGACCTCTTTAAGTTTTTTTCATTTTTTTTTCATTGAGTATAGGGGAATAATATGTGTCAAATAAAGCCTTATGAAAACAAAGCAAACAGAGATTTTTTTTTTTTTTAGACTAGAGATGAAAATCTGTCAAAACCATGGCATGTTTTATTATCTTTAAACGTGAGTCTAAAGACAGAGGAGACTGTTACGGCCAATGATTTTAATTCATACATATTGATAGTGATTAACTAAAACAAATAAGTATATATATATATATATATATCATACCATATACTGTATACATTTGTTATGTAAAAGACAAAGCTTTATTTTTGTAACTGTCATAATAACAGACTAAAAATGTCCTGTTCTAGATCAGTTAGGGGGAGTGGTGGCCTAATGGTAAAGGGCATTGTGCTTGGAATCTCGAGGTTCTGAGTCAAGCCCAGCTCACACACACTAACACTATGGGTCCCTGCGCTGCACAATGGCAGCCCACTGCTCCCCAAGGGAATGGGTTAAATGCAGAGAGTTCATTTCGTTGATATGTACTTGCGATAGTGCAATGACAATAAAAAAGCTGGGGGGAAAAATCAGTTAGGATCACCAAAGTTTTTTTATCTATTACTATGTTGAATATGATGAGAGATAATAAAATGATTTTTTTTCTACTTTAAATTCACTGCTCTAAATTTTGCTGGTGAAGATAATCAGTCATCCAGATCATAGTCATTCCAAAAAAAGTTTAAAAAACAATCCACAAGACTTTGTTTCCAGGTTTTGAAGACATTTTGCTTCCCATCCAGGAAGCTTAAATGTCAGAAATAGTGTTGAGTTGAGGTTTTTTACAGTACCCCATCAAAACCTTGTTTTTAGTTTGAAAACATGCAAATTGAAACGGACAAAGGGCGCACCCCTTTCCGCTATCATTGCAACCCCTACCCCTGCATAGGTGAGATCAGAAGACCTTGCCTTTTCAGTCAGGCCATTTAACGACCCCCCTTTCAGAGACTTAGACTGGCATGGAGCATTGCAGGCTAACAAAAGAAGCTAAACAACCCCCATTCTAAAGGGGTGGACCCATTCGTTCATTTCAATTAGCATATTTCCATATTTGGGCTACTGTATAAAACCTCGAACTCAATACTATTCCTGACATTTTGAATTGAAAAAGCTTCTTTGATGGGAAGCGAAATGGCTTCAAATTTGGAAACAAACTCCAGTGGATTGTTTTTTTTTTTTTCTTTCCTTTTTTTGAAAGATTCTAAATGTAGTACATGATTATATTGTCCAGGTTGTTGTATGTTGGCCTTGTAGCTCAGTGGTTACAGGAAGAAACCTCTACAGACTGAGTCATCATCGCCCCATCAAGGCATCATCAAGAAGAGTTTATAGGTCGCAAACAATAGGTCTTCCAAATGATTAATTGCCCTTAAATGTATCACTAAATTAGTTATGCATGGGCTTAAGGACAACAGCATCACTGATCTGGAGTGGCCATAATAAACCGCTGATATCAGAGCCATTAAAATTCTTTGGGCAGAGCTGAAAGGATGTGTTTGATAGAAGCAGAAGTCTCCAAATGTGATCCAGTTGCACCACTTGTGTGAGAAGTATTGGGCTTAAATTCCTGCTAACTGATGCACAAAGCTTTTAAAGAGAAACCCAAAAGTTTTTATAGGAATCATTTTGACAATCATAATAGATCTAAAACAACAATAAATTAGGTTCCTTTTTTGTCAGGCAATGAGAAAAAGAAATTTAATTCTAATTCTAATTTTTAGAACCGCTCTTAAACAGACATAATGTCTAATGGTTTCTTTGTAGATTATATACTGAGACCATTCCTATATGGTGGTAAGTTACAAATGTGACCATGTCCAGTATTTCAAAAACAAAAAACTCTGAGCAACAACAAATAAATCCAGAAACTTTCAAATCACAAGATATGTGTAAATATATTTACTTCATGTTTTTTTTTATTCACCAAAAAAAGTAGTTGTGCCCAGCAACGGAGAAGATTTCTTTCCATATTTGACAGTATCGCATTTTCTATGATAGAAAATCATTTTAATTGCACATGGTTCCTGCTGGTAGCTCTGCTGCCTTGCAAAGAGAAGGTCCCTGGTATGAATCCCAACCTGTGGTCTTTCTACATGATGTTTGCATGTATTCTCTGTGCACTAGTGGTTTCTCTCTGGGTACTCTGGTTTCCTCTAAGAGTCTAAAAAGCTTAACCTTAAGGTAAAATGTTTTTTCTAAAATTGCAGGCTAATAAATAAGCCAAACGACCTCCATTCCGAAGGGGCGGACCCATTCGTCCGGTTCAATTTGCATGTTTTCTAAGCCAAAATAAGGCATTGTTGGTCTACTCTATAAAGCCTCAAACTCAAAACAATTCCTGACATTTTTAATTGAACAATCTTCCTGGATGGGAAGCGAAACGTCTTCAAACTTGGAAATAAAGTCCAGTGGAATATTTTTTTTTTTTTTACTTTTTTGGCACGACTATGACCTGGATGACTCAGAATCTTTACCAACTTTACCAACCTTTTTCTCTTAGTTATGAGTTTAGGCTTTTTTGCATGTGTTTGCTTTGTGTTGCCCTGTGATGAACAGATAATCTGTTCAAGGAGGTACCTGTCTATCAGCAATTAAATACTGCGGGCAAGCTCAAGTTACATAAGAGATGGACGAATGGATTACCAGGTGTGTCATTTAAATTTCAAGCTTAAATATTTGGTGTTACTTAAATTTAACTTTGGTTAAAAGTCCATAAATCCTTATAACTAAACCTTTTCCAACCTAAATCTCCAACTTAAGCACTAAGCAACTACAGTAGCAGCCATTCAAAATAGCTCTTCCCAGTCAAAAGCCAGCCGAATGGCAGCAGAATCCCCTCCAACTTCCAGCCATTGGCATTCTCATGGCCATGCATATTTTTTTACTCTGACTCCACCCTTTCATTGAATTACGGGGTCTGACCAGGAGATGACGCTCCTCTTTAGATCTTGATGTCCAAAAATCATGACATAAAGAATATTTTTGATGTTTGAAAAGGAATTGCAGGGGACCAGCCAAGGACCGGTCAAGGACCTGCCAAGGACCAGCCAAGGGCCCATCAAGGAAAGTGGTGAAATTTTGAATGGCTACTATTGTAATAAAATGAGATAAATGTACTGCATGTCTACCTTACTGAGCACATAATTTGTATGGCTGTTTGAGTCCACAATGCCCTGCTCTTCTTTACTTACTGAAACCTGAGTCTCTTTATTATTGTCTCCCACAGCAGATAGGAGCTGACCCACATGCTTCAGACACAAGAACAGCCCAGTCAACCAGAATGTCTTGAGATTAGCTCAACAATGGCAAACACCTTGAGGTGTTTTATCAGATGGTGTCTGGGTTTAGTTTATCTGCCTCGATGGTGGGGACCTTTCAGCTGTCTGGCTCTGCTGAGATAGTCATCAGCAATGAAGAGCAGAACATGGAGGGCTCTGCAGGTGACGGCTTATCTTTGGAGAAGGGAAGACAGCAAAGACTGGCCACACAAAGGGGCATTAGGGAGAGAAGATTTCCCACCATTTTTTTGTATCACTCAAAAAAAAAAGAAGTCCAACACAAAAAGCCAGTTGCGGGTTGGATATGTGGGAGAAAAAAAAAAAAAAAAAGGATTTTGGGAGAATTAGTTTTAAACAACACATGGCTGAGCCCAATTTAAGCTGAATTTCTACTCAATTCTTTGGAAGGAATTTCAATTTTCAACCAGGTTGGCAAATTTTTAACTCTGGTTGACATTTTTCTTCACTTTCTGCTTTTTCATGTTTTATGCAACTCCATTTATATTACTTTGATATCTTCAGTAGGCTAAATTTAGAACAGTAATAGCATTTTCCTCCAGAAGAAACTGATACTGTTTACGCCGACACATCAGCAAGGCCCTGAGGGGGAAATCATGTTTGCATTTCGTGTCAAGTCTTTAAAAAGTAGGGTTCTGAGATGTAATCGCCAAAGGTAAACAGATGGGGAATGCTACCGTTTCACGCCATTTGAATCCCTCCTTGATAGATCTACTTGATGGAAATATGTCAAAAACACCCAACTATGAAACAGATTAAAGAAGAAAAAAAAAGGATTACAAAAAGGAAAATAATGTTTTCTCAGTGTTTGATGCTATATTATTATGGTAAGATATATAGTACTAATTAAAATATTAACTGAGACACTGCAGAGACAACATCTATCTACTAAAGAAATTTAAAACAGTTAGAGGCTTACAACAATAACAGCTTTAAACTGTTAGAATATAATAGTGCTTTAATCTGGCCAAAGGTGTTCCACAAGGATTAGTTGAAGTTCTCCTTTTTTAGTAGTT